TCGCGTAGCGAGCGTGTCGGATCGACACGTCCAGGGCCGCGCTGCGGGCAAGGCCGGCGCTGGCTGGGGGTTCGTGGGGGTACTTTCAGTTTCTGGGGGGTGGGGATAGGGAGAGAGCGAGGGAGGGAGTGAGGGGGGAGGGGGAGAAAGAGGGTAGGCGGCCATGGGTGCAAATTTAATCGGAGATATTAGACTTGCATCCAGTAGACTGCACAGGAACCGTCGCGGTGTCTGTCTTCCTCTTTCTCTCACACTCACTTACAGATGTGTATGCGTTTCGTGTGTGTGAGAGAGAGAGGGGGAGAGAGTAGGAGAAACAGGAGGGATGAGTGAGCGAAATGAATTATAATACGTGTTTTTTAATAGCGTCCGAGCACGGAGCTCCGATGTAATTAAAAGTATTAGAGGGAGGGGTTCGCTCAGAGTCCCTCGCGGTGTCGAGTGGCGGCAACACTCATGTCGACAGACAGACACCGGAGCACCGGAGCTGAGGACGGGGGGTGGGAGGCGCCCTAACCAGCCTGCGTCCTCACACGGGAACCCCATTCTTCATGCAGGCTGATTTTGACTGAGCTCAACACAGAGTGTGCCCCGCGTCCGAGCTCGCTTCCGCGTTGTTTTTGTTGTTGCTACGTCTTCACCATGGATGGTCTTCACCCCATCAAACTAGCTCTTCAATCCAGTTCAGTGCACTGGTGTGACGATTGTGTGCAATGAAAGTCAGTCAGCAGCTACATTTTGAATTCAATTATTGGCTTGACAGAAAATAAATTTTATTTTCCAGGTGTAACACGCTACAGTCACCACCGACACTGAACCCTTGCCGCCTCGGCCGGATCGACCTTATCGTAGCCAAGTCGATTTCGTTTCTCGCTTGATTTCTGCGTAAAGTCAGCCGCTGACAGTGGGTCATTATACGCGGCACGTACACAGGGCCCGATTACCATCTGGCTGACGCGCGTGCGGCTCCGCCGGGCTCCGCTCCGCGCCGTTGTCCGCTCGGCGCCGCGCTGCGGGTTGCGTGGTTCGCGGCGATTAGGCGCCGCCGATTCTGCGAAACGGTCGGGGCCGAGCCGAGCCGAGCGGGGCCGAGCCAAGCGGAGCCATGCCCTCTGAGACTTCCCCCGGCGGCCGCCTTTGCGCCCGCACCGCGCCCGCGCCGCCGCGCCCCGCCGTGGGGCCTGCCTGCCCGGCGCCTGTACGGACCGGGCCCGGGCCGGCGGTGCGGCGCCACTTGGGCCCCCACCGCGGGGCGTGGCGGGGCGTGGCGGGGCGTGGCGGGGCGTGGCGGGGCGCGGCGGGGCGCGGCGCCCAGCTGCAGCCCGTATTGTCAACAGCCACGGCCCCGCGCGCATTGCCGCACACAATGGAGCGAGCGGAGAGTCCGGAATGTTGTGACTCCTGCACCCCCTCCCCCTCCTCATGCACGTGGCGCCTTACTCCCTGCGCGCCGCCTGGACCTCGTACTAGGACGCCTGCTGCCTGTCCGTGGCCACGCGTGACCACGGCCGCTTTTCTGCACTAGCAGCACCTCAGTCGTTTATTGATTTCTCAAAAGAGGAGCCAGGGCGATCTTCAACTCCTCAGGTCACCGCTATGAACGTGTCCATCAGGGAGGGCTCTGACTCCCCCCCCCCCACTCTCTCTTAACATCACGCCATTAATTATGGCGAATTGACTACAAGTTGTGCTGGATGCCTGAGACGCAAGGCCGCGGATGATGGTGGAGAGGGGAGGGGGGGAGGGGGGGACGGGGGGAGGTGGGGTAGGAGGGAGCGGGCCATCAGGAGGAGTTATCAGATGAGAAAACAAGGGGATCGTTATGCTTCTATGAGGTACTGTGCTACCACCACGGTAATACTCTTTTGCAGTCGTTTGTTATTGCAAGTACAAGTGAAACGTCCTGCAGTTGTTGTGGTTTGGCGGACCGCTAAACTTTCTGGTACAAAACTCTCGTTTTGCTCCGTTTTTCCCACAGCGTCCCGTCCGCCGCGCCCCGCCAAGCGCCCCGGGGAGGGCGGGCGGGCCGGGCGGGCACCTCGGTGCCCGCCACCAGCATCCCGGCGGCGAGCGGGGCGGCGAGGTATGTGTGCGGAGGACGGGGATCGGTTCCCAGGGGCTGCGTGCGAGCGGCGGCCGGGACCCCGGCGGACGCGGCCCGGCGATGCCGAGGACAATGCGCTGCTCACACGTCCATCGGAATGCGCTTCGACTGCCGAATATCACCTGATCGGCCGCGATCAGTCCGCACCGCCCGGCCCCGCCCCGCCGGGTGTCCGCGTGACAAGTCAGTGGGCTATTGCCTCCTCCCCTCCCCCCGCCTGCCTCCCTACCCCTTCCAGGGCTCCCACAGGCCCGGGCCTGGGGCACAAATGACTGCCGAACCTGGTCTGGGGGCTCCCCTCCCACCCTTCCTCCCCGCCTCTCCTCGGGAGGTGAAGACAGCCGCGCTTTGCTCCTCGTTTTTCGCTGTGGCCGTTGCTGCTTCTCTTTGGTCGTACGTCGCATTGTTTTCGTTTGCCTTTGACCGAACGGCTCCACCGACTGATTTTCGCGGTAACACGAACTAAAAATACAAAAAAACGTCGCGCCGCGAACACGGCCCGGCCGGACCCGTCTGTCTCGGTCCGGCCCGGCCGCAGGCGGCGGCTTTGGACTCCTGCCCGCCGTCCCGCCCCGCCCCGCCCGTGTCCTCCGGCCGGAGACGGATGACAGACGGCGCCGCGTGGAGCTTCATGATGGAGGAGGTCCGCCGCCGTCCGCGACCGCGAGGGCCTCGGCGGTCAGCACTGCGGCCGAGCTGGTGCAGCCACGGTAGGGTGCGCGTCCCGTAGTACCAGCTGTCCCTTCACCAGGTGGCCCTAGTCGCCCTGCCCATGCCCATGCCCACGTACGGAGTCTGTTTCAGAGCAAGACTGGTGGCCCCGACAACGGCTAGGCCCAGTCCAGGACACCAAAGGGACACCCCCGTTCTCCCCCAGCCCACCTCATCCCGGCCCCGGCTGGGTATCAGAAACACAAGCCGCCATAAATTAACCTCGACCGCCTGTCGATCGCTTGGCCGGGCGCGACCTGCGCTGGGACATCGCAGGAGCACCGCAGGGGTACCGCAGGGGTACCGCAGGGATACCGCAGGTATACTGCAACCATGGCGTCAACGGGTGTTGACGTCGAGCCTGCTGCGGAGCTAGAGCTGGAGCACTTTCCTTCCGTACCTCATCGCTTGCCCGGCTTTATTGCACACGGAGGAGAGAGGTTGAGAGAGGTGAGGGTGAGACAGGAGGGGTGAAAGGGGACCGGAGAGGGAGAGAGGTGGGGGAGGGAAGGGGAGCAGGCCAGTGCGCTGAGCGGGGAAGGGGTGCGTCGCCGGCGAGAGCGTTGCCCAAAAGATAAGCAGAATTAATAATGAAAAGTGCGAGCGCCACGCAGGAATGAAAAGAACATTATTCGTATTGCAACGCGAGGGGCGGCCCGCGTCACTCGCTCTCTCAGGAACGCATAGCTTGATGAGGGAGAGAGAGAGGAGAGAGATGGGCGAGGGGGGTGGGGGGGAAATAGCGAGCGTCTGCTTTACAATAATGTCCCACCGACGCCCAGTCACGCCGGGCCACGCGCCGCCAGGTTCTGCGAAGTTTATTAAACGGCCCAAGGGGAAGGAAAAGCGGGGGGCGTCGGCGTCGCGATGCGCGGGTCTGGCGGCGAGCTCCTTCCCGCTTCCCCGCTCCTCCGCCCCTCCATGCCCGCGCGATGAGTCTTCTGGTCGGCGGCGATAGCGTATCTCCAGCCGATTGCCCGTAAAATGGAGCGGCTGCAAGAAAAAGTAAAGACGCTTGTTCGGCGCCGCCGCCGCGAGATGACGGCGGTGATAGCTCGCTTGGCGGGAGGAGGAGGTGGGGGAGGGGGCAGGCAATCGCAAACGGGCTGCCGCCGTCGGCCGCGAGGTGGATTACACGCGAGGCGCACATGTTGCGGAGGCCGCCGCTGGCCGCCGCGCTGCCGCGTCCAGTCCCACGCTCCCATTAGGGCTCATCACCGCCAATGAGCGGCCGGCGCGCGGCGTCCTCGTGGGGCGCACGGAGCGCGTCCTCCCTCCCGGACAGCGGCGCCTCCACGCCGCGGCCCCCGTGTGCGTCAGCGCCGTGTCGCCCCCCAACATCCCGCCCGGCGACCCGGGGGCGATACATCGCGATACGTGCGGTGCGAGAGCGGCCGCTCCAGACGCGCCCCGGACCTGCCCGGGCAATTAATATCAACAACATGACCGTCGTTTTTCAGGGTTCAGGTAATTTCTTGGACGGAAAATAAGGGCAATAAAACAAGCCTCCGCGCGGCGTTTGTGACAGCGAGAGGAGAGGGTCGGAGGGGGGATGGAGGGGGGAGGTTGATCAGGCACCTGCTGGGTCCACCGGGACACCGCCGGGACCCATAGATCTGTTCGTGATAACTCGGGGCCCTCCTGGCCCCCCCTTGGGGCCCTCCCCGGCCCCTCCGCGCCCGGCTCCCCGCGCGCGGCCGTGGCCGAGGATTGCGGCTACGATTGCATGCCTGTGCCGTGGCCGGCCTCTGCTCGCCGCTTGGACCGCCGGCCCCGAGACACTTCGATGACATTTCAATTCCCCGATCGGCAGCGGCAGATATCATCGGCAGAGAGCGCGCCGCGGCTCCATTTGAATCTCCCGCCATCCTGCTGCCCGTCGCGTCGGCAGGCCGGGGGAATGCGTCAGACACCGCGCGCGCCCCGCCTTACCCCACCCAGACGCGCCACCGGCAAGTTGATCACGGCGACCTGCCTCGCTCCGAAAAATTAACACTCGTTGGAGTTATTCGAGCTCAAGCAAATCCAGTGGCCAGATTCTACGGGGAACGACGAGTTTGACGGGGTGATTAGAAACGGCGACTCGTTTTTCTGCGAGCCGATGTGAGGTGTTGTAGGATGCTCTGAAGGCCGCCACAGGCCTGGCGCCTCCCCGTGACCCCGAAGACCTTCCCCGTGTACTCACCAGCCATGCCCGGGTAGGAGTAGCCGCCGGGCCCCGCGTCCAGCCCGTGGTGGTGCGCCACTCCGGCCTGGCCGTGGTGGTGGGGGTGGTGGCCGCCCGGCGCCCACTCCTTGCTGTACTGGTGGGCGTGCGCGGGCAGCCGCGCGGGCGGCAGCAGCAGCCCGCCGTACTGCGCCATGTTGTGGTGGTGGTGGTGGTAGTCGAACCCTCTGCAACAACAGCGGCCGCGGGTTAGCGTCACGCGCACTGCCTATACCGTGGCGGAGCTAGCCCACCCAGGGCGGCGCCTACCTGTGGTGGTGCGCGGCGCTGTACTGCTGGTAGTGCGAGTGCCAGGGGTCGGCGGGGTTGGAGGCGGCCGCGTGGTGGTAGGGGTGCGCGTCGCCGTACAGGTCGCTGTGGTGCGACACGCCCGCCACCCCGGCCATGCCCGCCATGCCCGCCGCGCTCAGCCCGGCCGCGAGGCCGCCGACGCCGCCCAGGCCCCCGGGCGACTGGTAGTTGCTGTTCCAGAAGGACGCCGGGAAATTGCGCGCGGTCATCGGAGAGGCTTCTGAAACAAGACGAAAGAGGGGTCAGCAAGGCGTTCAGACAGTCCCGTCATCGCGAAAACTGTGACCGGCAGAGTTAGGTCCTCACATCTGTACACGCACTCGCACTCACACACGTGTACACGCACACGCGTACACGTGCTGCCAAACGAGCTGGAAACTTTTAGTTTGTCGGGGCAAGGTGTTTTCCCTGACCGTGGCGTTACAAACCATCTCTCGAGACTCTAGACGAGCATCCCCGCCCCTCACTCTCCACCTCTTCAACTGGCTTGACCTCACTGCTCATCGTCACGCCTGGCGTCCGACTAAGTAAACCTAACGAGCCGCCGACATGCCGACAAATAATCACGGGCAGGGTGGGAAGAGCGGCGCACTGAGGGCTTCATACAAGCAAACGCAACCACCTGAGCGCACGGCAGGGAAGCGGCGCCGCCAGCCACGGGGTGAGCAGGGCAGGACGTCGTCCTCACCTGAGCGAACTTCGAGAGCGGCACTCTAACGCCAACGCCCTGCTGGTCCGGCGGAACGCTGCGCTGCAGAGAACGAGAATGTGATCGGGTGCTTCGACAGTGTCTCCTATAAGGACCCTGCTCCTGCTGCCCTGCCAGCAGCTTATTGCCGAGGCTCATCCTCTGCTTCCAGAGATACGCGGATCGGAAAGACATCGACGGTAGTTTGCCAAAGAGCACCAAGCCAGCCCCTACTTCATCCCCCCCCC